CAACAGTGTGATGCAGCAGCAAAAAAAGCTAATGCTATTCTAGGCTGCATCAACAAAAGTATAGTGTCCAAATCAAGGGAAGTAATAGTACCACTCTTCTGCTTTGGTCAAGGCAAGCGGCCTTCAGCTCCTGAGGTAAATTGTTGTATCTCAAAATCAGGGTGAGGAACTGCTGTCCTCTGGGCCAGCCTTGGCCTGCACAACTTCCCAATTAGCTCATGAGGCCAGTTTGGGCAAGCCATGGCCCTCCATCATGCACCTTACGTCATATAGGTAAGGGTGGGGCTTGACTATGAGGACAAGGATGGCCAAAGCTGCTTTGTGCAGCTCCCCAAGCTGGTTGCCTTTGCATAAAGTGGGGTCACACTGCTAAGCAGGATTGCGCCCCCTTCACACCAGCTGATGCAAGGAGCTTTGGGGCACATCCAAGCCCAGCACCAAGCAGGATCACTCTCCCCACATCATGAGAGGGGCTGATCCTTCCTGGTGCTGGCCTCAGAAAACCATCAGGTGTGCACAGGGTCCTTGCAGGTAGCTCTTGGGCCTACCCAAACTCAACACTACAAAGGAAGGAGGGAAAAGCTTGATCTAGCTGCAGTCTTAAAGGGGAGGAGATTTGCAAATACTTTCAAATACTTTCTGTAGGTTGACATTTTCATGGAATGGAATCCAATCTTTCTCCTATCGCCCACACTCATTATTAATACATTTTCCACTGCCTGGGAGGCTTCCTAGATGCTTCTTCCCATCTCCAGTTCTCCAGTCAAAATAACCACCAGCAGCAGGTCACAGGTTTATATAAATGGCTTTGATTGTGTGGTGGAATCTTTTGCCCATTTCCCTCCCTCATTTTCCCTTTAAGGAAGCCATGGGGTGGGGGGAGGGAACCTAATGGCCCTCCCTGTCAATTAGCCCACCTTATACCAATCAGAACCATGTGTGCCTCTTGCATTCACTAGCCAATCAGAACTATGCATTCTGCCTGTGGTCTGCAGTGCGGGGAGAAGAGAGAGATCTCACTCACAGTAGGAACCTTGTTTTTATTATATTTCGTGGGGGGGGGGCAAGGGAGGAGTGTGTGCACTTTCTTTTCCTTTGTTTTCTGGCTAGAATACTGTACTCTTATCTCTTCCTGTCTTCCCCCATCACTTCTTTCTTTGGATTTCACCCCACACCCAGCGGCGTCACTCCCCTCTTATTTCTGAAATATTAAAACTAAAAAGCACAGCCCAAACGCTTTCCATGTTGCCCTGGTTTTAAGTACACGCATATTCTGTTTGCAGTGTGTGTATGCTAAAGTGGATTTTCTTGGAGAAGCCTTAACCTGAAGTAGACTTTTAATAACGGTTTAAATTGAATACAGTGGTACCTCGGGTTACAGTGTATTGTTTGATTTTAATTAAGATTAAACTGTCTCGCTTTGCTTTGGGAGACACCCAGTGAACTGTTTTGGAAGGTGATATAAATGCAATTAATATACTAACCCCACGTATCTGGGAGTAAGCTCTACTAAATTTCAGAGCAGACAGGTAAGTCACTAGACCCAATAGAATTGGCTTTTTTTGTTGCTACCTTCCCATGACCAGCTGGTCCGTCTTGAACCAATTAATACACGTGCCTGGTTTTCCTTTTGTGGCATTTGTGATTCTCCTCTTCCGCATTTTATCGTCACAACCTTAATACATATAATACTGATAAGCACAAGGTCACCCAGGAAGCGTCACAGGTGGTGATTTTAATCTTGGTCTCTTACACCCTAGTCCATTTGATATCCTTTCTCGTGCTGTAAAGAAGGCACGGAAGTAAATATGTTTGTGGAGTGTGGGGAAAATCTTTTCCTATAGGGCTGAAAGTTTAGGGAGGAGCCTGTAAGGGATTCCTTTCACAACACAAGGGATGAGAAATTTCTCACTGAAATGAACTGCCTTCTGCTGCCCTCTTCAGACATAAAGCCAGAATACACATAGACTATTTTATCTTTTGTTTGTGCTATTTTTATATATATAAAAAGAAGCAGCTTAAAATAGTAATGCAAAAATTGTTAAATAAATGAAATTATTATGGATTTGGACACATCCATAAAGGGACAATGGGAAAGAGATTTTGGATATGACCTATCACCAATTATTTGGAAGTTGCTTTCTCAGAATGTCCCTCAGTAAACTTCTAGCCCCACCCTTAAGGAAATAAGGCAGAGCAAGCAGCTTATGCTGGTAATATAAAATAATGAACACTGATATCAAGGACATTTCCTGGACCTGTTCTAAAAATAAAGCAATTTGGGAGTGATCTAATATATTTATCTAGTAAATTTATCTAGTATATTTGTCTTGGTATATTTATTTGGCAACAGGTTAGTGTTGACTAAGGGACGCGGGTGGCGCTGTGGGTAAAAGCCTCAGCGCCTAGGGCTTGCCGATCGAAAGGTCGGCGGTTCGAATCCCCGCGGCGGGGTGCGCTCCCGTTGCTCGGTCCCAGCGCCTGCCAACCTAGCAGTTCGAAAGCACCCCCGGGTGCAAGTAGATAAATAGGGACCACTTACTAGCGGGAGGTAAACAGCGTTTCCGTGTGCGGCTCTGGCTCGCCAGAGCAGCGATGTCATGCTGGCCACGTGACCCGGAAGTGTCTCCGGACAGCGCTGGCCCCCGGCCTATAGAGTGAGATGAGCGCACAACCCTAGAGTCTGGCAAGACTGGCCCATACGGGCAGGGGTACCTTTACCTTTACCTTTTAGTGTAGACTGCCACAGGAAATGCTGTGAAATAAATAACAGCCTGTTGTCCCTTGTGTCCATGCTGCAGTACCTTGCTACTGCCATGTAAGGAAATGCAAGCGTTACTCTCTCTGAAGGCAGTCTACACCTCAGCATGTTTTTGGAAGAGCAGAGTGGGAATTGTCATTACCTATTCTTGCCCAATGAGGGCAGCAGAGATTGTGAAATGGAAATAAATTGGAGAGTCCAATCAGAAGGCTGCAGCCAAGGTTAGTCCTACTTATAGCAGACCCACCGAAATTAATGGTCATGATTTGTCCATTAATTTTAACGGGTCTATTCTGAGTAAAAATTAATGCAATGCAACCCAGAGGGCTTAAAAAAATTGTATTCAGCAAAATCGACATGTAAAAAATGCAGAATTGAGATTAATATTGATCGCATTTGATGTTTAAATCGTAGGTTTCTGCAGAAGTGCAAGTATTAGAGCCTTCCTCAAGAACACTGGGTTGTAACCAACTACAGTGGTACCTCAGATTACATACGCTTCAGGTTACAGACTCTGCTAACCCAGAAATAGTACTTCGGGTTAAGAACTTTGCTTTAGGATGAGAACAGAAATCTTGCTCCGGCAGCATGACGGTAGCGGGAGGCCCCATTAGCTAAAAGTGGTGCTTTAGGTTAAGAACAGTTTCAGGTTAAGAACGGACCTCCGGAATGAATTAAGTACTTAACCCACGGTACCACTGTAATTCCTACTCAAAGTAGGCCCATTGAAATTAATAAACCTAAGTTAGCCATGTCTATTAACTAGTCTATTAAGACAGTTTGGTGTAGTGGTTAAGAGTGGTGGACTCGTAATCTGGGGAACCGGGTTCGTGTCTCCGCTCCTCCACATGCAGCTCCTGGGTGACCTTGGGCTAGTCACACTTCTCTGAAGTCTCTCAGCCTCACTCACCTCACAGAGTGTTTGTTGTGGGGGAGGAAGGGAAAAAGGAGATTGTTAGCCGCTTTGAGACTCCTTCGGCTAGTGATAAAGCGGGATATCAAATCCAAACTCTTCTTCTTCTTAATGGGTCTACTCTGAGTAGGCCTCATGTTCTATGCCACCTTCTTTTCGGTAGCTCCCTTTCCATCGCAAGGGATGGCATTAGAGGGTGGCAGCAGAATTTGGCCTTCTCCAGCAGTAAACTCTGCATGGCCTGCGCCCTTCCTCTTGAACAGCAATGGGGAACCTTAGGCCTGGGGGCAGATGTAGCCCCCAGGCCTCCCTGTATGGCCCTTGAGACTTTCCCAGAAGTAAACTGGTTGAACTGATTTCAGAATTGTCATTTTGCATGGAGGTAGGTAACTAGGGATGTCTGATAATTCTGATGGAAACAGAAAGGGGAGCAGAAATTTCTGACGTTCTCTTATTTGTCCCATGTCTGGAACAGATTTCAGCGGATTGTTGTTATCGGTCCACAAGCAATATAATAATTTTATTATTTGTACCCTGCCCATATGACTGGGTTGCCCCAGCCACTCCGGATGACTAACTCCTCTGCCATATGCACTGAGTTTCCTTCGCATTGAAATTAACAGTGTGGAATAACATAACAACAACACAATTAATTACATAAAATTCTGCCACAGTGAGACAAGTTCTGTTGTTTTAGTTAGAAGCTGAACTGGAGAGGAAACTGCGCTGTGTGGAATGAACGTGGGCCAAAATCATGCCTTACATCTTTGTTGTAACCCACCCTGGGACCTTGTGGTGAAGGGCAGGTAAGAAATCCAGTTAACAATAACACATAATAATGCCTTCAGTTTCCTGTATTTGCATTTATATACCTGTGACCTAGAGACACAGTGAATTCCTGCCCCTCAACATTTAACTGTGGAGAACAGGAAAGGGAACTGAACTAGGGTGAGTCCATGTTCTCTGCTTTACAGAGAACAGTCCTTTATTGAAGGGCTATCAGATGGCTGTCCTCTATGTAAAGGCATTTTCTATTAAAAGGGCCATTCAGTCAAAGTCTGGTTTAAAGATAAAGAATTAGAAGCGGGGGGGGGGGGGCTTGAATTTGCCCATCAACAGTAAACATCTGGACTGAATAGGCTGCCAAGCCATCTGACCACAGTCTTCCCCATTATGACATTTTCTGTTACATTTCTAAAAGTGCAGCTATACACATAAATTAGCATATGATGACAATGTGATGAAAAGGTGTGTCCTCTTTTTTTGACAGCATGTAAGTGGTTACCCTAGAAGGAACCCCAAAGAACTACTACTGTGTGCAGGCCCAGTGTCAACACTCGGAGCACTTGGGTAGCTGTCAGGACCCCAGGGTCCTAGCAGGGCTGGCTGGCAGTGGAGCCTGCACTGTATCCCTTGCTATGAGCTTGCCCAGATGTGGTGGGCCACTTACATTTCCCACAAGGCCCTGGAGTGATGCTGTGTCAGGCGCTCTGGGATACTGCGGGGTGTGAAATGGCTGCAGCCACCGTCAGGTAAATCTCCAGCTGGGGGCCCACTCTAGGAACTCATGTTAACAACATTTTAAAAAAGGCAGGGCCTGAATACAAAAACAGGGGCGGAAATAAAGCCACTGGTTTTCTACAGGTAGGGACTAGCTAAATAAAGATGCTATTCCCTGTGAAACAGGAACAACTAGAAATTAATTTCTGAGGTTTAAGAAGGGGGGGGGGGAAACAGTTTACAAATAGTGCCATTGCCAACACCAGGAAAGCTGTACTACACACTCACCCACAGTATTTTTCCTTGCAGCTGTGTGACCTAACTTATCTTTGCTGAGTCTTAACATGTTTTAGTCTCCTTAGATGGGGTGAGTCAGAGTTGAGGAGTCAAAAAGGCCAACAGAATCCCAGTCTGTTTCGCCACCATCCCCTGCTCCCTGCATATGATACATCTCTGTTATGAGTCACTTGAGAGAGATTTCTTCCAAGGAAAAGCATGCATGCAAGAAGACCCTGAAGCTTGACAGCCGGGTTGTATCAGAGTCACTCCACTCACTTCCCTAAACTGAAATCTCACTGTTCAGGCATTCCCCAGATTAGAACAATAGAGCAGAATGATAGCAGGGTACTCAAGACTCCTGGCCTAGAAAGCTGTCATCTGTGGTGCAATCAGGATAGGACTTTAGAACAGAAGGCCAAGGCCTCACTCTGAAGAATGAAGTGCCTCATATCTCAGGTTTTACAAATACTAGAACTCACTTTTCTTTTGAATGGAAGCTCAGAATCTAGGAATTATGGTTCATCTGGAGGAAGCAGGGCAACTGCCACTCTTTATGAATCCTCATGCTAGATGCACAAATCTTTCAGGGGTTTTTGAAACCCCAAGCAAGCTCAAATCCTCAGAGAAAGGGTTTCAGTAGCACGTCAAGCCAATTTATCAAGGGGCTGGGATTCAATTGACCAGAGTTACTTGGTTTTCTGATTCAGGTCCATATACAGGGAATGGGAAGAAAGCCCTGATCTGTACCAGAGGGCAATGTCTACTTTGTCACTTACTTACTTACTTACTTACATTCATTCCCTTGGCAGCCAAGCAAGGGGGCCTAGGCCCTAGGTGAAAATGTGGTCGTTATGGCGACAGTGATGTCACGGCCTCTGAGGTGGAAAAGTGGTGGCAACCTCAAGTATGACTTCCTCCCCTACACCCTTTGTTATAGTTTGGCTCAAAAATAGAGACGGTCCAAGCAGCAGCCTTGCAGGGACAGTTTAGCTGATAGTCTCATGCATTGCTGCATACAATACCTCTGGTTATGGGAATCCTGAACAGAGTGGTGGATTACAAATGCAGCACTGCAGGAGCTCTGTCTGGGAACAGGTGCAAATGCAGTGTGCCATTTAGTGGCAGGGACCACCTTCAAATCTCACCTGATTATCAAAGAATATTTTGTACCTCTAGAGAACTATCCCTTTCTGTTGGTAGTCAAAATATAGTAGAAAGACACTGTTCATGACGTTTATGCTGTTCCCAAGGACAGGTTAGTGGCACCGTTTTTTTGAAACTCTGTCTCTGACACTGGGTGGCCAACTGTCCTACTCTGTAGAGAACAGTCCTCTAGTTGAGGACACCTTCTGTTCCAGGATGAGGAACCTCTGGCCCACAGGCCGACTTTGGCCTGCCAGGAGTCCCACTTTGGCCTGCCAAGCTATTCTTGGCAAACCACTCACCACACCTGCTGTCATATGCGATGTCAGGTTCGAGACAGGTACTAGCATGGCTTCAAAGGAACAACTGCGAACTTAAAGAGAAACAATTGGGAGCTTAAAGTGATTCTGATCAGCTAATGGGTGGTGGAAGCATCCCTAGCTCCAGAATAAAGAAGGGGATTGCCTTGAATCCCCTGCCAAAATGGAGGAAATAACATGTACCTTAGCAGTGGTTGCAATGCAAACCCCTTTGTGATCTCAGAGAAAAGCCATTTTAAGGCATGCTCAAAGAGGCTCATTATCCATTGTAATGTCAGATGATTGACCCTGTGTGGGGTAGGGCGGATGCAGATCTGGCCTGCTTGCAGGGAGTGGGAAAAGTTCAGAGTTCCAGCCAGTCAGCCAACCATACCCTTTTCCAGGCCACTCCATTCAATTCCCATTCCCCCCTCCAACATCAAGTTATGCAGCCGCTGACCATGTAGTCTGGGGTTTTTCTCCCTCCTTAGGAATTCCTCCCCTTAAGTTTTTGTTTGTTTGTTTTTACTTCTTCGCATCTTGGGGTTTTCCCCAAACCGGCTACTATTTCCCATTTTTGTGTAGATGGTCCTGCTTTGGCTGCCTTAAGGATCATCCGGCGGAGAATTGAGCCTGCTCTTAAGATTGTGCAATGACAGAACTGTAACTTTTGCCATTTTGTTTTCCTTATTGGGTCCCTTATAGGTTTTGTGTCGCCCCTTGTTTTCAGAACAATTAATGATTGACCTTGTGATGCTTTACAAGCTAACATCTCAGGCTACCTACCTGAATCTCACTCCCGTTGTTTTTAAGACATGCGCTGAGACAGGCCTTATATCATTTATCTAGATGGCAAAATTCACTGGGCATTTTGGTGAAGTAAATAACTTATTTCAACATCTCCTACTGCTTTTTGAACTGGATCACTTGAGCAGCTGGTACTTGATCATGGCCTTCTGTTCAACACATTTAGGACCTCCCTCCATAATAGGTTTGCAAATTTATGAATGAATATATAGCAATAATAATAACTCTGAGCCTAACCTGCCTCACAGGGTTGTTATGAGGACAATATGGAGAGGGGGAGAGCCATGTTCATGCCACTTTGAGCTCCTAGGATGAAAGATAGGGCATACATGCAATAATTAAATATCTAGAGAAGTACTTTGGAATAGAATTTTAAAAGAGATTTAGAAAAGATTGTACTTATTGTAAACAAGTTCTCACCAGAGTATTCTGTCTCTTGTGCATAAACCAATGATCAAGAGAACCACAATAGTTTAATTGTACTATTAGGATAACTCTGAAGTCCTATGAACCCTTTCCATAAACACATTACCTGTTCTGTAGCAAACATGAAGATCTACCTCCCTTTCTCACTCTGAATAAAGCCAATTCCACATACTCTGTCACTCTCTTTCATTACAAGAGGGTAGAGTTCTGCAGAATGGGGGAAAAATGTGGCTTTCTTTTGCTCCCATTCAATTCTTTTTTTAAAAAATTGTTTCTATTAAGATTTTATTGGGTTACAAAAGGACATACAGTGCCTCTGCTTTCAGTTCCTACAGATCAGTTATATTTGATGTGAGACACTAATCTTAATAGACAGTATAAGGTTGGGGGAGAAGAGAGGTGGGAAGAGAGAAGACGGGTAGCAAACTTTCATTCTTTTGCATAGTGTCCGTGCAAGGTTTTTGTGTCAGCTTCTTGTGGGTAGGTTCCCTTTCTATTCATTTATTAGTTTTCATTGGTGGCGAGATAGGTTGGGGGCCCAGGGCATGGTTGGTTGCCTTCAGTGGAGTGCAGTGAGTTTTGTTTGCAAGTGTAAGGGGGAGATGTTGTTAGGTCAAGTTAGCGGTATCTTTCTGTATGCTGCCCGCATTTGCCCCTGGCCTTACCTGCCACGGGTGTGTTGCTCCCGGAAGGGAATGAGGCGTCTTGGCTGAAAAAGGTTCCCTACCCCTACCGTCCAGGAAACATGGGCCAGGGTTATGGTCTTGAAAAGCAGGCCTAGCTCTACCGAAGGAGCTCAGATTGCTTCATGTACCGTTTCCGAGCGGCTTCCCTCCCAGAGCATTTACAAGGCTAATCCAATGCGCCCTCATGTAGCATAAGCCTTCCAATTGTTCTCCGAGCCATCTTGTAACATTCCCACAAACCGTACCAGGGGAAAAAAATGCAATTACACAAAAAGAAAGGACAATGCACGCCACTAAAAGATATTCACTTACAGTTTATTTATCCCCACCCCACCCCCGCGCCTAAAATTATTTCACATCTTTTTTTCTTTTTCTTTTTTTTTACACAGCTACAGAACAGTAGTAGTAAACCATCGGTAGAAGCAACAGTGCTAAGGATAAAACGTTGGCGTAAGTTTCATCTCCGTTGTCTTTCGTTTTCCCTCACTGAGTTTATCAGACAGCTTGGGATATAAGGCAGAAACAAAACAAAACAAACAAAAGCCAAAGCAAAACACAACCCCTGGCACCCTACATGAATTAAGACTTGAACCAACCGCTGTTGTTGTTTTGTGTGTGTTTACAAAAAGTGGGAAACAGAGAGATGACAGAGACTTGAAGTGTGAAGAAGCTACACTAGCAACATTTTAAAAAAACAAAAAGCAAAAAAGACAACCAGAACAGCAAAAAGCATCGCTTCCCATTGAATACAATTAAAATATGCATGCATGTATGTACAGTATATGTATATACATGTACATACATACATATGTGTGTATAAGCACACTGCCTGGATGTTAAATCTCTTCAGGTGCCCCAAGAACTGAACAAACATCTGCTAGTAAACTCAAAAAAGTTAAAACACATAAAATGCTTCTTTTCTTTTTATTTTAAAAAGCTGCTCCATCCCAAGAATGCTTATTGTGAAAGAGAGAGAAAATAACCCAAAAGCATATTTATAAAAAGAAAGCTTATTTATAAGGGTTTTTAAAAATAAAATAAAATAATAATAATAATAATAATTTTTCTGAGCATTTGTATAGGACCCACCTCATCATCCTAGTGCCCTCCAGATGTTTCTGGCCCCCAGCTCCTAGGGCTGATGAGAGTTGCAGACCCAAATATCTGGCGGGCATTGGATTGGCAAAGGCTGGTGCAGGCGGATCAGGAATATGGATAGTGGTCATACATATTTTGAGGAGCAGCTTAGCAACTGATTGTGGAAAAATCTCCCATCTCATGAAAATAATAAGAATAGTAATAGTAATATGGCAAGTGATCCTTGTATGCATGGAACATAAGCGAAGCTCTGGGAGAAGGGAAGGAGGAGTGAAGGTAAAGAAAAATGCACAACACGGTGGCTGTGAGGATGAACATGCCCTTGAAATATAGGACGTAAACAGAAAACCAAACAGGCACGCCTTGGCAAATCTAACACAAATGGTTGACAGCTCAACTTAAGTTTTTAAACTAACATTTTTCTTAATTACAACAAAAGGTAGTTTCCTTACCACTCCAATTTCCTAACCCCAGCACAGTTTGAAAATGTATCAGGTAATATTCACAACCTCTTCCTGACTGCGCACTCATCTTTTTGCTCTTGTGTATATAGATGTATTCATATGCATATTTTTTTCTTTTATCTGAAGAAACTTTTGAGTGATTTGTAAATCAGAAATCGGTGGGGTGATGGGGCTGGACAGAGACTACGTAATACAGTAAGCTTTACTAAAAGACAGTTATTCAAAGAGGGTTTTCTGTTCTTTAAAAAACAAAAACAGTAAGACCAACTAGTTCATACAGTCTATATGCGAATCAGAATGAAACAAACAAACAAAAAAGATAAAAGAATTAACAATTCATAAATAAAAGACAGGTCCCAGACCTGTTATTTGTGAACCATTTTTTAAATAGGTGCATTATGTAAATTGTATGTACAACAAAATTACTTTGCATAACGATCGTAAGAACAGAATGAGAGGTGAAAATCATGTTTTTTTCTTCTCTTGATTTCTCATTTTTTTTTAAAAAAAGAGAGAGAGCAGGAAAGATGGTAAAGCACCTAAAGACTGAGGGTCCATCCAAGAAAAAGCTCTGATGTATAACCCCATATTTTTTTTTCTTTCCATATGGCATTTTAAAAACAACAACACAAAAAAGCAAATGAAAATTGAAACAGATTTCCCCTCCCTTTTTCCTTTTTCTCCCCGGCTGCGCAATCTTTCTTCCCCCACCCCCAACCCCTTCATTTAGATGATGTTGAATTTCAAAGGACGAAGCTCAAAGAATTTGGCAGGGCCTGGGGCATGCTCAGTTCCCCCTCCCACACGCAAAGCCACACTCTGCTACCTCACAAACACAACTCCTAAAATCGAAGTCCTCAGAACTTGCTGCTCTCTATAGGTAGAAGCCAAAAGTTTATTTCTCTGCTTTTATTTTGTTGCAAAAAATTCTCTTTTCCCCTCCCTCCCTCTCTCCTTGTCAAATGCTACGAATGCAGCCCACGAGATTTCACCATGCCTCTGTGTAGCGGACATCCACTTCCTTCAGGTTGGGCAATTTAGCCTGGTTAAAGAGAAAAGGGTGGGGTGGGTAGAGAGAAAGAGATAAATAATGAGCCGGTCCTTTTCAGATTTCCACCAGAACTCAGTAAGATTCCTTGTGAACCATCGCTAGGCATTTAGGTTCTGCTTGTATATTTTGTATATCCATATTAAATGAAAGTTTATGATTTAAAGTGCTTAAAGCCATGGTGGCTGGCGCCCATTGGGCCTGGTAGGGCAGAAGACCAGGAGCCCAGCAGCAGGTGGCGCCGGAATCAACTAATTCTAGTTTTCTTCCCCTTCCTCTCCCTCTCTTGAGTTCTACAAGGGCATAACTCAGACTAATGAGGAGGAAGCTGACAGGCAATGTCACCCCTTGGACTGGTTAGCAGTAAGAAGGCAGGAAGGTGAGGGGCTGGCTTAGGGCACACAGACTCCGGTGTGGCAGTGCCCCATTTGCCCCAACAGATCAGCCTTCACTGATATAAAGGGAGGTGAATGAAAGGAGCAGCTGCTGTCCAACTGCAGGTTTAAAGAGCTTCTCTGCCCTAGGCGGAGTTGAAGATGTGGGACGATGATCTTAGAGTGGGTGCCTTTGTTGAAGTATCAAGCTACCAAGTAGATCAGTCAATTGGTAGCATAAGAAGGGGACAGAGCTCAGTGGGGGAGCAGGGAGAAGGTCCCCAGTTCAATCCCTGGCAGCTTCTCCAGGTTAAAGGATGGCAGCTGGCAGGTGATGGGGATCCTGGAATGCGGCTACCAGTCAGTGTGAACAGCACTAGGCTAGGTGGACCAGTGGTCTGACCTGGTAGACAGCAGCTTCCCACATTCCTGTAAGCTCATTTCGTTAACTTCAGGTTTAAAATTCTTATGAATAAATCATTTTAGAGGTGGTGACACTGCTCTTTCACATCTTGAACAGGATGGGGAATCTCTGGCTGTCCAGATGATCCCTGACCACTGGTGATGCTGGTTGGGGCTGATGGGATATGGAGCCCAGCAAGCACCTCAACAGCCACAGACTCCCTGTCCTTGTCTTAGGTGCATCACATGATCACCACCTAGCCAGTGGCAGAGAGATACAAAGCCATGCAGGTTTCCTGGCAATTCTGCAACATCGTAAGAAGAGCTAAGTGTTTTATGTGGGATGGCCTGCTCTGTTGCCACTGGGCTCTTTCCCAGACATGTCCCACAGCTTCAAAACTTTGACATACCTTGAGATCTTCATAGGTGTCTGCCGTAAGTTTGGTGCTATTCATATTTAAGCTACACAGGCTTTTCATGGCTAGGAAATAAATAAGAAATATGTTACCCAAAATGCAAATGATGCCATGTTGATGTATTGGGGGGTGGGGATCAAAAATCCATTAGGGCATTTGGCCAAACAAAATGCCACTAAATTGTGTGCAAGCTTTTTGAATTCTGGAGAACTCAAAAGCTTGCACATGATTTTATGATATTTTAGTAAGCCAAATAAAAACATTGCTCTATTAGGATTTTTTTATAAAACATGTTGGTTGTAGACACATGTTTCTGCATATTGAAAGATGGCATGATAGTGTCTGAGGGGTCGATATGTTATGGAGGCTCCTCTGTTTCAGACCTTGCTTAGCTAAAAACTTAACTGACTGGACTTTGGGTCACTGCTTGGCAATATTTTCTCTGCAAACATGAGAGCTAGAATCTTGCTCCCCCCAATCCCCCAAAACAAAGCTTTAGATTCTGAACATGAAGGGTGGGGGACTGATGTATTCTGCACTAGGAAAGTGCGCTGAAATATTTTGTATGACACAGTGCAAAAGAGTCATACTCGTAATTCTTGCTCTTGTTTGCACAATTTTTCTTACTTTTTTGATAAATGAGAATACAAAAAACACCCCAAATGCAAAGCCCTACAGAGAAACTGTACCGATCAGTCACACCCTCCCATTATCAATCCCTCACTGTCTATAGGATCCTGATGTACTCATTCATTTGAAAACCTTGTAAAATCCATAGAGCATCCTCTCTATTGCAGACAGTCATTCTCCAACTAGTGGAGCACAACCAGAAATGTGATGGAGTGGGTGGGAACATCACATGGAAGAAGAAACGCCTGAATGGGGCTAATATGGTGCATCAAAGTTGGTTGTAAAATCATGTTCACTACATATAAAATAGTTTGGTCTTTCCAAGGGAAAATAGGATCAACTGAAGAAGGGTTAGATGAATTTAGAAAAATGAAATGTGGATCTAACTAATGGAGACAGTTCTGATTACTGTATAGGTTATAAAAAAGAATGGATGCTATAAAGGAAAAAATAATATAAATTATAGTAGATTGGCATTACGTTAAACAGAAGAGTCTTAATCTTATTAGTAGAATATATTGTGCTTTTAAGAAATGTAATCTGACTCCTGACATAATGTTCGGGGGGCCCCCTAATTTTTATTTATATTAATACTTTAATCAATATTACTTTTGTCATACACTTTGGTATGGAAAAAATAAACATCTTTAAACAAGTGTTCACACAATGGCCTCATTTGCACTTAGGTCAGGGCACAGAACCTGGGCACCTGTCCCAGCCCACCAAAGGAATGAGTTTGTCATCACTGACGGGTAGGAGGGGGAATCACCGCAAGGGAAGCGGATCTGAGAGGCTGGTTAAAAAACAGACTTTAACCTGGATGAATCTATCTGGAACAGTTGCCCTCCCTCTGGACTGCAATCCCCACTTCACTCATCAACATGGATTGAAACAGTATGCAAGTCACTGGAATTTGCAGTTCTCAAGTATGAGTACACCAAGGAACCTGTGGCTTCCCAGATAAGATATTGTACTCCTGTCATTCCTGACTGCAGGCGATGCTGGCTGGGGCTGATGGGAGTCCAACCACACCTGGAGGGCCCTAGTGCAAAAAGGGTGCATCACTGGGAGAATAAGCCCCCTTCAAAGGGGTTCAAAACAGTCCTGAGGCAATAAAGTCCGAGCCAAATGAATCCTCTCCCTGCCCTGTCATCGGTCTGCTTCTTTGCTTACTTACAGCTCAGTGCCAGCAGCCCAGAGTCGGTGACAGGCGTCTCACATAAGTTGAGCACTTGCAGCATCGTGAGGTGTTCAGAGAGAAGCCGCAAACCTGCATCTCCAAACTGGAGGGGGTGGGGGAGACATGGAAGTATTATACATGAGCAGAGCACTATGGGAAAAGGAACTGGCCTTGCAGACACAGGAGACTCTTGTCTTTCTGCACTAGTTTACATCCCAGCCATGCAGAAGTCAGATTTTCACACCCACACCCACCCAGCAAGAACCATGATGACAGCTGATAGAATCATAGTATTGTAGAATTGGAAGG